GAAAGGTTTTTAAGCATGTTAAGCATTTTTACCTAGTGCATCAAGCAGTGATTATCTTAGTTACTTTTAAGAAACAACTAAAGTAGATTAAATTTTTTATATATATAATTATAAATAAAATTTTTATAAATTTTGTTATATAAATAAGTATTATTAAAAAAAACTTAAATATAAATTATATTTAAATTTTCAGATTTTCTTTTAACAAAACTCAAATATTATTAAATAAAAATATAGTATTTATATTAAATTATATATATAAATTTTAACTATATAAGTCTATATAAAAAATTTATATAATATTTATATACAGTAGCTTTGTAGAGATATATAAATTTTATAAAAATTGTATTTTTTGATATATTTAATTACAATTAAAACTAGTGTTGGTTTAAAAATAGATTGAAGCAAACATTATAAATAATCTTATCTTTTAGTATATTTTATTAAAATTATATAATAGATTTGAACTTGTATATTTTTTGTATATTATAAATTAAAATAAAAAATTTGATTGTTTAATTATTACTAAAAATTAAAAAAAATAAAAAATATAGTTAAAAATTGTTATTTTAATAGAATTGAAGGTAAAAAAAACAAATATAAAGTATTTATTTATTATCAAAAACCAGAAAAAATAAGAGACATTAGTAAAATATTTAATTTTTTTTTTAATTTTAAAAGGTGAGGCCTAGTAAAATATTTATAGTTAGATATTGTTATAATAAAGGAATTAAAGTTAAAAAAAACAAACATAAGATAGTTATTTATTATTAAAAATTAGCAAAAATAGTGTTTTTAATAGAATATATATAGTTAAACATTATTATAAAAATGAAATTGAAGTTAAAAAAGACAAATATAAAGCATTTCTTTATTATTAAAAATCTGCAAAGATGGGGTTACTAATGAAATATCTATAGTTAAATATTGTTATAAAAATAGAATTAAAATTGCAAAAAACAAATATAAGACTTTATTTTATTATTAAAAATCTGCTGAAATAAAAGATGCTAACAAAACATATATGGTTAAATATTGTTATAATAAATGAATTGGAGTTAAAAAAATAATTCATATTATCAAAAGTCTGCAAAGATAAGTCATATTAGAAGAATATATTAGGTTGAAAATTGTTATAAAAATAAAATTGGAGTTGAAAAAAACAAACATAATGCATTATTTATTATATATCAAAAATCTGCAAAAATAAAAAATGCTGATAGAATTAGAGTAATAAGTGATTTACAAAAGAATCAACTGGCGGAACCAGATGTAAGTTATTTTTATATTGCAATTATAAAATTATATACTGTATCTTCTTAATAAATGTATTTAAAAAAAAATAATAAATAAATGTATGAGTCGCACCCTTTGATGTGCTTATACATCGCATGTATATGCAAATTATAATTTGTCACCGTAAGATCAAATAAAAACAAAAATAAACTTGGGTGCTTAATTAAGATTAGAGTTAGGTGGAATTAAAGTCAATGTTAGGCTCACTTATAAGTTCAGTAAAATTGAACTAGAACTGGACTTATAGGTCCAGTAGTCCCAGTTTATAAGTCCAGTAGAGCGAACTTTTGGTTCAGAGCCCAACACTGGTTAAGATGTAGGAGTCTTAGAGTAAAATTTTGCAAGGAATTTTTTTGTTAGGAGATATAATGTTTTGAAATTTTCTGATCGTGTTACGTTACACGTAATCTTGAAAGTTGATTGGTCGGTCATTACGATGCGATGTATAAGCGCATCGCAGGATTGTGATGCCTAATTAAGCCCTTAATAATATATATTTGACCAGTTATTTTTAATGCAGAAGTTGAAAGCATATTGTATTTGCAATGAAAATCCAACATTTTCTAAGGTGCTTTGAAATATCAAAAGATGAAATTTCACGTAATTATATTCTTAGAACGCGCAGCAATGGGCTCCTTGCGACAAAATCTTCATTCTGTAGCACAAATGGAATGGAAAAATAAACCAACATTATTACATTGTATTGCTTCTAATCTTAAAACAATTCATTCTCAAGAACTTATTCATCGAGATTTGCATAGCGGTAATATTTTACAAGATAATTTCAATAACGCGTATATTGCAGATTTAGGACTTTCAATATCAACACGTATAGAATTAAAGGCAAAACAGATAAAACGTCGTGAATTTTACCATATTTAGCGCTGGAAACCTTAGAAGTGGTCAATATACAACAGCATCAGATATTTACTCATTCAGAATAATTGTGTGGGAAATTTTGTATGGAAAACCCATAACTTATAACCAAGAGTTTGTAACACAACTTCAAACAGAAATATGCTATAATGATTTAAGACCGGTTGTTATTGAGAACATTCCACAATGCTATGTAAACTTAATGAAAAAGTGTTGGGAAAGAAAACATTCTATCAGAATTAATTAAATCAAACAAAATATTCAAAGCATAAGGTAGATATGCCTATTTTGACGCAGGTAACGTTTTCGATAGATGTATCGATCAGAACTGGATGATTTTACTATCTTTCGATTCGTCTCATCGAGACGAATCGAATGGTGCCAAAATCATCTCACTAAATCATGAGATATCACTTATTAAAGGTTGTCTAAAAAATATGTTCCTAAGTTGATATAGTGCCTAATTTGACGCAGGTAAACGTTTGCAATAAATATCATGTGATGTATCGATCAGAATCGCAAGATTTTGGTACCATTCGACTCGTCTTATCGAGACGAACCGAATGGTACCAAAATCTTGCGATTCTGATCGATACATCGCATGATATTTACCTTGAGCTATTTTTGTTAAATCGAGTATCTCGAGAACTATCAACCAGAATCACATGATTTTGATCGATAGTTCTCAAGATATCGTCGTGCGTCAAAAATATATCTTGATATTTATAATAACGAGCTTATTGAAGGCACATATTTACAAACGTATCCTGATGATATTTATCAAAGCAAATTTATTCAATATACGTACCACATTACTTTGTCACTCATCTTTTAATAAATAGATTTACGGTATTTTATTGATTTTGAATATTAGTTACGTTGAATATTACAGAATGATATAAATACTGTATAATTTTGAACCAATATGATTATTTAATAAAGAGTCAAGTTTTTGAAACACAAACTGATCTTATCAAAATTGTTGAATAATTCGATCGAAAATTTCGAGTATCGGAATAAGCTTTCATTCACTGAGCTATTAACGTTAATTTGGTCAATCATCGAGCATCGGTCAAATTAAAATTTGACGTGTTTTGGTGATAGTGTAAATCTATTGATTTACCGTTCGCCACTGCATACAGTATCCCCAAAATAATACCCCCTTTGATTAAGTCTCGAGTATTATTCATCATCATCTTTGGCTTGATTCTTGAATAATACCCGGGGGTTTAACTATATGAATTGATTACTGTTCATATGAGTGCTGCCAAGGGAAATGTCACTTTGGACTTTCAATTACATTTTGACCGAACAACTTCTATTTAATTTATTAAGGAGTGTTCGTAATTGAAAGTCCGAAGTTACATTTTCCCTTGGCAGCACTCATATGATATATCCCCAAATATAGTACCCGGTTCCTCACACAGTACCCACGGGTACTATTCAATTTTAAAAAAATGAAATTCTTGGATAAGACCCCGGGTACTGTATGCAGTGGCAAACGGTTAATGTTTCCGCTTGTTAATCAAAATATAATGTAAAATATGCTGTTACCGATAGCTCTAAAAGCAAATAGATCATTATTAAATCTGATGTTATTTGGCAAAATAATATTTTTAAAATGTAATATGAAGGCAATTGATTTTATTCTTCCTGATTGTTTAGGTTAATATTATATAAGGTTATAGTTTTTATAAATAAATACCGGTATTGCAATTGATAAATTTACTGCAAATTACTGAACTTTCATCGTTCAAGATTTATGAGAAGATAGTTAAAATCAAAAAATTTTTATTGTTTGGTCAACCGACAGAAAGATCTAATATAATAATGGAAATTATGCTGGGAAATTGGTATTTAACGGGGGTACCTCTGGAAATATTATTATTATTTTAGGTAGCAATTTGCAAAAAAATTTTGTAGATTCCTGCGTGATGGGTGATCATAATAATTTGAAATGCTGTAGTATGAATTACAATATAATTTTTGAATATTTACATATTATTTATTATTTTTTAATTGTGAAATACAAATTTATTTAAAGACTAGATTATGAAAGTCCACTGAGATTAGTTATTATCCCGATTTAATACGGCACTGTATAAAAGTTTAGCAGCGAAACTCACTACTATGTATAATCGTAACTGATAATAATTTAAAATATAAAATGGTTTCATATGTTTTTTATTAATAAAAAAAAATTAACCCTTCGTAAATAATAAGAAACTGTACTGTATTAAAATTATATATCACTAGAATTTAATACATCACGATCATTCGTAGTTCTTATACAAATTCATATAAGAACTTCGGATCAAGAATTTGCATTATTTCAATTATTTCAGCACATGAATACTCATAATACAAGTGACTTTTGATATAAGAAAGTTGCCGGTCCGGCCAAAATCTTTCTTATATCGAAATTTTATAAAATTTTTCAATTGCGATTTAAAAAATCTTTCATATACCAAGAGTTTCTTATATCGAAGGTTTCTTATATCGAGAGTCACTTGTATTAGTGAATAATCAAATATTCAAAATTAATTGGCGATAAAAAAAAAAAATCTACATGCTGTTACTGATTATAAGTAAATTTGTATGCACTTCGGATTTTAGTAAAATTTTGCCGCAGCCATGTTAATGCGCAGTATTTTTTTAGCGTTAGTGAAACGTTACATGCGTATATTAAAAGTGTATAAATAAGTTACCCTGATTTATAAGATCGACTAATTGATCTTGTAACACGACTGTATATATTTAAATCTATTTAAATAATCCAACTAAAAACTTATATTTGATACATGTTTCATTTTCTCTTTTAAAAAATGGATTTAAATCCTCCAGCAGTCTTTCGATTTTCCGATTTATTACGAAAATCTCATTCTCAAAGCAAATCAGAGAGTAAAGGAAAAGGAAAGGCCATAGCGGTTGATTTTACAACTAATTTGTTGGAAAATATTCATCAAGCGCAAGAAGAATTGAAATACAATTTAAGCCAATTTAAGCAAATTCTTCAACAAAATCAAAAGTGAGCTCAATTTTTAAATTAATTATTTGTCTTGTTTTTTTTTCAAAAAAAAATTTGTAATTATTTATTGATGCAGTATTCAATGGCAACAACAAACCTGTACGTGATTTCAATCGCTTTTCTCAAGTTCACAATTCATCTAACCGTTACTGATACACATGTGAATCATTTTTGTATAAATCAGCTGATGACAATCATCAAGTTAACGAATACGGATCAGATCTTTTTTTCAACGACCTTCCAACATCATATTTTTATGATGATTTTCATGATAATGATGAAACTCAGGACTTTAGTTTAGATGGTATTCATGATCAATATGAAGATGAAAGTGTGCCATTGGACAAGGAATGGTTATTAAAGTATGCCCACAACCGATCTTGGTTTCTTCTGATTTTTCCCCAGTATTATTTGTTAATTAATATAATTATATTGTCAGGCAATGTGAATCACATATATCAACATTTGGAGATGTAGGTGGTGCTATAACACCCATAAAGTTATGTACAAATATATTCACAGTACTGAGGTCTAAGAAAGGTGTGTATTTATATATTTCAATGAAAAATTTTTCATTTGGATACCAATAATAATATTGGTTATACCATCAGATGACATTGAAACGGAGCTCGTTGATCTCCTTGGATATGAAAACCTTAATTTTGTTACAACACTGGTGACTAACCGGTTCGAGATCGTTGAAAAAATACGTGTGAATTCTGATTTTGATGAAAATCAAATGGTGAGAATATATTTATTGGCATTTAATAGAGTTTTTTTTTTCTTTCCTTTTTAATTATATTTTGCTTCAAAACAGGATTCTTTTGAGAAATCAGATCTTCTGTTAGATTCAATCCCAACTGAGCCAAAGCGCCCTCAGTTTGGTTCTCAAATTACCGTTCAGTTTGCAGATGATGTAAAAAAAATGAAACGAATGAAAAAGGAACACAAAAAGGCAATGAAAAATCGAAGTGCTGGTACATATTTTCTACATTTTTCGATATTGCAATGCATATGGTTACAATTTTTCTCATATTTTCACGTGTAATTTAAAATCACAAAGAGGATGAAGAATCCCTATCTGCCAAAATATTAGGTTTTGACAGTGATAAGCTACGTGAAATTAGAGAACATGAATTACGCGCTGCAAATGATTTACCCTTACTTCCTCAGCGCGTAAGTTGAATTTAAAATTTGTACTGATTTTTGAATACTGAAGTTTCTAATCTATTAAAATTTTTCAGAAAACTCTTTCGGAGAGTTTCAAGCATGTTTTTGGAAAAACTCAACCTGGTAGTGTGTTATCTGTCTTCGGAACCAAATATTCGCTACCAGCTGGCACTAAACAATATAGTTTTACTGTATGTAATTTTTGGGGCTTCATTAAGCGTTGTGACTTATAGCCTATATAACTAATATTCTTAATGCGCTTAACAGGATCATGAAGAAGTAATAATTCCCATCACCCAACAAGCGCCACAGCTAAAAAACCAAAAGTTAATTACTTTAGGGGAAATGGATTATCTTTGTAAAGGTTCATTTAAAGTAAGAACATATTGATTAGGAAATGATTTAGTTCCAGTGTTGGCAATTCTATTTTTCTATTGACTTTTTTGTTATTTGATTTTATTGTTACGTTTGTTTTATTATTAACTTTACATTAAGTCATCTAGCCTTTTAATTATACTAAAGTTTTTAAATGCGACAAAAATTAGTTGTTCCATTGTTCCAGTGCTGCCAACACTGAATCTAACTATAATATTAATGGGATTTAATTACTTGGTTTATTAACTCACAATTCATCTTCAATTTATTGTTTAGGGATATAAATCGCTTAATTGTGTACAATCAATCGTTTACCCAGTTGCTTATAAAAAAAATGATAATATGCTGATTTGTGCTCCCACAGGAGCAGTACGTAGCCAATTAATCTATCAAATAGTTCATAATTCTACTGTTATTTAGCACAAGTAATAAAGCAACTTAATTTCTTTTTTTAAACAGGGAAAGACAGACATAGCTATGCTTGCAATTCTCCGTATCTTATATCAATACTGTGATCCTAACCCCTCAACAATTTCAGAAAATCAAAAGTTTACGATTAGAAAGAACGAGTTTAAGATCGTTTATATTGCACCAATGAAAGCTTTAGTGGCCGAAATTGTGAAAAAACTTGGTAAAAGATTAGAATGGTTAGGCATTCAAGTGAGAGAATTAACAGGTATGTTTATATAAATATGTTAAAAGGGCTTGACTCTACCACATAATTTCTTAATATCTTATTGATATTGCTACATGTTTCTGCCTCTATAGGTGATATACAATTAACCAAGGCAGAAATTTCTAGTACTCAGATCATTGTAACTACCCCTGAAAAATGGGATGTAGTGACAAGAAAGAGTACGGGAGATACCGAGCTGTCAAAGGTGAGCTTTTTTTAAAAATATATTGTTTATGTGTACGTTACCGATTAATATTAATATAGTGCCGATATTCTAAATAATAATTAAATAGAAAGTCAAATTACTTATCATTGATGAAGTGCATTTATTACATGATGATCGAGGTGCTGTTCTTGAAAGTCTTGTTGCTAGAACACGTCGTCAGGTAAATTTAACATTCTCATTAGAGTATTCATTTGAATATATCTGAACTGCATCAATTGATGTTTTTGCGTTATTTAGGTTGAATCTAGTCAATCAATGATTCGTATTATCGGTCTTTCAGCGACTTTACATAATTATGTGGATGTGGCTCGATTTTTAGGGTTGGCTTTATAATTACATTCTTTTATCATCATCGCATAATTAATTATATGTCTAATGAAATTTGTTTCTAATTTATAGTGTGAACCTTAATAATGGTGCAGAGGGTCTATTTTATTTTGACGGAGGGTTTAGACCTGTACCACTTGAACAACATTTTATTGGTGTAAAAGGAAAACCCGGATCTGCAACTTCCAATAACAACCTTAATCATGTTTGCTGGGAAAAGGTATGCCTTTATTATTTGATATAATGTTTCAATAGTGAATTATTATACAAATACTTATCGATTTTAGGTATTGGATCTTGTCAAGAAAGGACATCAAGTGATGGTTTTTGTTCATGCGCGAAAAGAAACTGTAAAAACGGCACAATTATTACGAGAATATGCCATTAAGGAGGGACAGGATGGTAATTATACTAAACAATCGTTTATTCTAGGAATCTTTTTTATTTGTCAGATTTTAATTTTGCATACGTTATAGAATTATTTAGTAATTCTACACATGAGCGTTTCGAGTTGGCAAAACGAGATGTCGCAAAATCTAAAAACAAAGAGTTAGTTGAGTTGTTTTCCTCTTCATTTGGCATTCACCATGCTGGTATGCAAAGATCCGACCGAACAATGACCGAACGTTTATTCGAGGAAGGACTTCTAAAGGTACGTTAAAATTGGTTTTGCAATATACAAATGAATGAATTATTTACATTTTCAATTATTATCAATTATCATTTATCATTTGAAGGTTTTATGTTGCACAGCAACATTGGCTTGGGGTGTCAATTTACCGGCCTATGCTGTTATTATTAAAGGTACTCATGTATATGATACACAAAAAGGCAATTTCGTTGATTTGTCCATTTTAGATGTCATGCAAATTTTTGGCCGAGCAGGTCGTCCACAGGTAATGAAGTTTGTTTAATCTTCGATATTATTATAGTTGTTCTTTTATTCATTCATGTTCTTTAATAGTATGAAAGCTATGGCGTTGGATATATTTTGACGACTAATGACAAATTATCCAATTATGTATCAGCAATGACGCAACAGTATCCTATTGAATCCAAGTAAGTAATTAATCAAATTTGAAATTTACCAAGATTAATGCATTTATTGATTCATTCCTAATAATTGACTTTATTTTTAGGTTTGTCAACAGCCTGGTTGACAATTTAAATGCAGAAATATCGCTTGGTACCGTATCAACAGTTGATGAAGGTGTTAGATGGTTAGGCTACACATATCTATTTGTTCGTATGAAACAAAATCCTCTTGTTTATGGGATTGATCCGAAGGAACCTTATGAGGATCCTGAACTTGGTAGAAAACGCCGTGTGCTCATCGAAATGGCAGCAAAAGAGCTTCATAAAAATGAGATGATTACATTTAATACTGAAAGTGATTATTTTAGCTCTAGAGATATTGGGCGTATTGCATCAAATTTTTATATAAGCTATAAGAACATTGAAATTTTCAATAAACACTTCAAAGAGCACATGTTAGAAGCAGATATTTTAACGATGATAAGCAAAAGTAATGAATTCGAGGATCTTAAAGCAAGAGAGGAAGAAAGTAAAGAATTATTAAAACTTAAAGAAAACGCATGCCATTGTCAAATAAAGGTATTATAAAAGAATTTGCATATTATTGATCATCATTTGCAGATATTTTATGTTTAATTTTTTATGAAAATTTATGAATTTACATCTCTATATTATAATAGTATGATGTCGATACTACAGAAGGAAAGGTCAATATTTTGCTACAATCACACTTATCTGGTGCTAGACCTGAAGATTTTGCTTTGATTTCGGATTCAGCTTACGTAGTTCAGATTGCTAGCCGAATAGTTCGAGCTTTATTTGAAATTGCTCTTAATCGTAACATGAGTCAAGTGACATCACAATTGTTGACATTTAGTAAATGTATTGACAAAAAAATGTGGATGTTTGAGACTCCTTTGGTTCAATTTGGTTTGCCACGGGAGATTTGTTTTAAACTTGATTCTAATCCATATAAACCGACCATTGAAAAAATGAGAGATATGAGTCCGGCTGAACTTGGACAACTTGTACGTAACCAACGCATGGGTTTAGTAATTTCTAAATGCGTGGACCAATTTCCTCTACTCAAGCTTGATGCACAGATCGCTCCAATTACTCGCAACGTTTTACGCGTAATTCTTAGTATTACTCCTGACTTTGTTTGGAATGAACGAGTTCATGGTACAGTAGAACCTTGGTGGATATTTGTTGAAGATGCCGAGAAATCAGATCTTTATCACTCAGAGTATTTCATACTAAATAAAAAGCAACTTGGTGAAACACAGAATATTTGTTTTGCAATTCCAATTCAAGAACCTCTTCCTCCTCAAATTTTTATAAAAGTTGTTTCAGATAGATGGATTGGATCAGAAGTCATTCATCCAATTTCTTTACAGAATCTTATATTACCTGAACATAACCATGAGCATACAGAATTGCTAAATCTTCCACCGTTATCTATATCTAATCTTAATGATAAAATTCTTGAAAACATATATGCTCAAAGGTTTTCTTATTTCAACCCTGTGCAAACACAAGTCTTTGATACATTATACAAGACACCAAATAATGTATTAATTGGGGCACCAACAGGTTCTGGTAAAACTGTTACAGCTGAACTCGCTATGTGGTAAATATTAGTTATAAATAGATTCATTTAAATGATTATCATAATTCTTAGCCTTTATTTTATTAGGTGGGCATTTCGAGAATTTCCGCGGTCTAAAGTCGTTTACATTGCACCGCTGAAAGCACTTGTTCGAGAACGTGTAGATGATTGGAAAAGTAGATTAACTGGGCCGACGAAAAGAAAGCTTGTAGAGTTGACTGGAGATGTAACTCCGGACCTTAAATCTATTGAAAAAGCTGATATAATAATAACGACACCAGAAAAATGGGATGGAATTAGCCGTAGCTGGCAACATCGAAATTATGTACAAGCGGTCTCACTTGTAATTATAGATGAAATTCATTTACTTGGAGGTGATCGTGGTCCTATACTAGAGGCTATCGTGTCACGCATGAATTATATCGGATCACAAACTGATAAGAAAGTTCGTATTGTTGGATTATCAACGGCCCTTGCAAATGCCAAAGATTTGGCAGATTGGTTAAATATCGAAAAAGATGGACTGTTCAATTTTAGTCATTCAGTTCGCCCTGTTCCTTTAGAGATTGAAATTGAGGGTTTCTCCGGAAAACATTATTGTCCTCGTATGGCCACCATGAATAAACCCGCCTTTGCAAAAATCATGTGTCATTCTCCTCAAAAACCCGTAATAATATTTGTATCATCACGTAGACAAACACGTTTGACTGCACAGGATTTGATTGCATATGTTTGCATGACCGATAACCCATATCATTTTTTAAAAATGCAAGATGAAGAATTACAAATGATACTTACTCAAATTAATGATAGTAGTATGAAAAATTCGCTTGCTTTTGGTATCGGATTGCATCACGCTGGACTAGTAGAAAGTGACCGAAAAATAGTAGAAGAGCTTTTCTTACATCAAAAGATTCAAGTGCTTGTTGCTACAAGTACATTGGCGTGGGGTGTTAATCTACCAGCTCATCTTGTAATAATTAAAGGTACTGAATATTTTGATGGAAAATCTAAGGGATATGTTGACTTTCCTATAACGGATGTACTTCAAATGATGGGAAGAGCAGGTATAAACTCTTAGTAAGATTGATTTATCTATTCTTGCTATCAATATGTTGACTATTTTAATTTTTTTTTATTTTTAATCAGGCCGTCCGCAGTTTGATAATAGTGGTGTGGCATGCATTTTTGTTCAAGATTCCAAAAAGACATTTTATCAGAAATTTTTGTACGAACCATTTCCAGTTGAATCTAGTTTACATATGCAACTTGAAAACCATTTAAATGCAGAGATAGTGCCAAAGAGCATTAAATCAAAAGAAGATGCGATGCGATACCTTATTTGCACGTATTTTTATCGAAGATTACGACAGAACCCTGCTTATTATGGTTTAGAGGAAAATTCTGAAAAGGCAATAGATAATTTTCTGTCTAAATTGTTTGAAAAGTCAATAAACGAGCTTAATATTTCTGGATGCATAGAATATGACGAAGATTACAACATAGTGACAACTACTTTTGGAAAAATCGCGTCTGATTACTATCTCTCACATAAAACGATACGTCTCTTTCGCAATCGCATCAAAAACGATGTATCTGTCCGAGACCTCTTGGGTATTCTTTGTGGCTCTGAAGAATATTCTGAACTTCCAGTACGTCATAATGAGGATTTGCAGAATCAAGAGTTGGAAGAGGATCTTCCATGGCCCGTACAATTTGATCAACCTTATGACAGTCCTCATGCAAAAGCCTTTTTGTTACTGCAAGCACATTTTGCTAGAATCAAATTACCTATCACTGATTATGTTACGGATACTCTGTCTGTATTGGATCAAGCAATTCGTATTGCACAGGTTAATGAATATTTTTTTGAAAGATAATTTATCTATAACATTATTTTAATTGATTCTTTTTCTTACTTTAGGCAATGATTGACATTTCTGTTGAACGCAAAACATTAGCGACATGCTTAAATATAATGACTTTACTGCAATGTATTAAACAAGCTCGCTGGCCAGATGAATCGTCATTATTGACGTTGCCCGGAATTGTAAGTCCAATGATTGGCTCATTGGCACATAAGGTAAGCATATATATTGTTAATCTGTTTTTTTT